TGAAAAATTTCTCCGAACGCGGCAAATTTCTCTCAAAGGCACATACGACCCCCCCCGCCTCTCCCAGCAACAACCAAACCCGACCCCCCAGCGGCCAAGTACGACCCCGCCCCATGTGCACACAACAGTGCTGTACCCTGTGCACACTACTGTTTCTAACCCCGCCACCTACAAGCTTTTTGCTGGCTGATCACGATTTGGGGACAAACGCCACATAACCACCGACGACGATCCTTTCCATATGCGAAGTGAGTGGGTCCGTAGCTGCGCCAGCTCGCCATTTTCTTTAATCACCCGGGTTCCGTCTCCCGACTACTACCGTCCCATTAAAATGTGCCGCACTGTCGGTGCCAGGATCTCGCGGCGAACAGGCAGTCAAAGGTAGAGATTAATCAGAATTGAGAGGACGGAGACAAGTAGCGGGTTCCAATATGGTCAACCAGGGCACGTCCTGCCTGGGGAAAAAATTGTAAAATACGACATTCCTCAAAATCGCCTCCTCTGGTACGACACCGCCCCCCCCCCTTCCCCATCCCTCATCTTACCTACCATCTTCTTAAACTTGTCTTTCCTTACCACTCTTTCACCAAACACAACAATAAACACCAAGCTCCAAACCTTCTCGAAGGCAAATAGACCCCTTTCCTTCAGCGAACAAATACGGCCTAATACGTCCCATCCTTCAGCGAACAAATACGACCCCATCGCTGGGAAGCCGTTTCTTCAGCGAACAATTATGACCCCATCGCTGGAAGCGCCCCAAAGTGCAACGATGTGGGTGGCCGGGCGGCACCATGGCAGAGTCATGAGATGTCACCCGGGTACCCCCACCCACCGGCCCTGCAGTGCCGTGTTACGCGGGCGACACATTGCTGCAACTGCGGACAACTTCGTAGATGACAAGGACAGAACCCGCAAAGGCGAATCAAACCAGCGGCGGACTGGGACGGACATTTACCCGTCGCCAAGACGTTGCAGTGTTTCTTGGGTCAAATGACAAGTCGCTAGCTCCAAGGCGGACCGGGTGTGTGACAAGACAATCGTAATTAGTCCGCTGGTGAGCTTCGCGTGCAACGTCGCCCATGCAAATCAACCATGTTTCTAGGTCTTAAATGACGACATCAGCTACTGTATACCCGAAAATGTGCCATAAGTGTTCACGATGTTGTAGTTTACATGACACCCGGTTCGCCAATCGAAAAGCTAATACAATTTGAAAGACAGCCCCCGCGCTCAAGTAGTACATGGTCGTCCTTCCTTGTGCAAGTAGTACAGCCCCCAAGCTAGAGACTGTCCCACTCTCGCGACTCCACAGCGAGCGAGGAGCGAGCTACACCCGTTGAAAGTCCTAGTTCTAACGCCCACCCACCTGCTAGATGCCCCGGACCGGAGGATGCGCTCAGTTGTTCTTGTTTGGCGACGGGGGCATTAATTGGTAAATCGCAATGTCCGCTTTTTGCGATTCCAACCCATCTCGCAAGGTAAAACGCGTAAAAATCACGAATGATGCAATTTCTGTGGTGCAAAAGCTCGACGCACTTCACTACACTAAAATATGCACGCTACCGTAACCCTAAATTCGGACGCCGAGTTTTTGAAAGTTTCTTTTCCTTTTCAAGAGTTTTTCTTCCGTGTTTTTGTTGTTTTTCGTATTCTTTTCATTGCATTGGATGATATCCACTACTGGGAGATGTGATAAAGGGATTTGTGAGCCAGGGGTTGCACAGAGACCGCAGGAAGGTGTGACTGCCAGGGAGCGATTTTGTTTAGTGTTCTTGAGGACTCTTCTTGCTTTTTTCTTCTTTGGGGAATTACTTATCAGCTACTGTTTCATAATTGAAAAGCAACTATCCATGACACTTTTATCGCGGGAGCTGTCTTTAAGAAAACGACGCGCTAATCGCCGCGTGCGATGGAGCGGCAAATCGAGACTTTCTTGGCCGTCACCCCTTTCAACCAGTCAAACTCAATAGAATCTTAAATACGAGCAAATTTGTATTAAGCACTCTTTTCATAGATACTCTGTTATGAAGGCGTTTGAAAAAAAACAAACAATTGAAAGGAAATGTTACAAACAATGAGCACAAAATAATCTGTCAATGGCGAGAAAGCATCAATCAGCAGCACAATATCAATCTAATAAAACAAAATTTGATATCAAATCTGAAGATATGAAAACATGATCTATATGAGATGCATTAACGATAATTAAGTAATGAATCCTTCAAGTAGCACTTGGATTTGATCTCTTCGATCTCAGGCGACTTTTCTAAGACACTGTAAATCACATTCTTTGGCAAGAACTATAGCACTTCAATTGTCTAATGAGCAACTCGACAACAAGTATATCAGCGTATGTACAATATTAAAGATCTTGAAACATATCATATAATTATAACTATGCAAAATTCGTGAGTATATACACAAAAACTCAGATTTAATATCACAGGAAGCAGTACTAGTAACTTGGAAAGTTCATGACTGACAGATTGCAGTAAATACAGAAATAAATAAACAAACAAACGCTTGGTCATTTCGTTGCAGACCCTGTGGCGTGTCAGGAAGGTGCTGGAGTTGACGCGACGTCAACCCATTTTCCACAAACTGCTGTCGCTCACCGATCAACAGTTAGTGGAAAATGAGCTGACACCGCGCTAGATCCAGCTCCCTGACACGCCCCAGCGTCTGCAGCGAAAAGGACTGGAAGTAGATAAAAACACAATATTATGTGAACCTATATTTCCATTAAACGGTATGAAAAGCTGTTGCACGTCTCAGACTACTCATTGCGAGGATGCGGTTGAGTCCGTCGAACGATCTCTCGGTTAAGCAAGGTCCGCATGCGCTCATACCTTGAAAGTGCATCAGAATTATGACTTTCACGACCACTGCTAACTAACTAATAAAGATAAAAAAGGATAAAGTCTTCGCCGTTGATCAATCCCTTTGTGGGATGCGGCACGCATTCTACTTCCATTCAGAATCGTAGTGGCTTATTGAATGCGATGTGGCCTATACAATGACTTGCGGGGGCCAGCCAGTACAAGTCAGTGTTTTATCCTCCCAGACGAATTTGGTACCAATTTACCTCCCCGGAGGGGGAAGCTGGGCCTACGCGAGTCTCGCTGGATTTAACCCAGGAAACCACGCGAGTGGTGAGTGCGGCACCTGTCACTACACCACCTCCTGCCCAACTAACTATAGTATTTGTTAAAAATCCTTGAAAACACCATTACATTAGGTGGTTCACAAGTAGCTAACGCTCGCCTATAGCAGCGGACTTTCTTGACCTCTGAAGGACGACGACTCGGTTTAAACACGTGACGCCGCGCGTTTTTCTCGCGACTCCCGTTTGACCTTTCTGCCGCTCCGCGCCGGTATGAATGCAATACTAACATACCCAGCAAACGGACGATCTTTGTCCGCATACCCTTTACACGCTCATTCTGGTCACTTTTGCTCTCATTTCTACATTGTTCAGTATGAATAATGACTTCTTTTTGCTGCATAGATGGATCTGGACAACGTAGAAGATTTAAACGTCAGTTTTTACGACATAAGTATTGGGTTGGCCCACACGTAATTGTTGTTTGTCACGATATTTTTACATGAAACAACAATTGTCACCAATACTTCCGCTTCCTGTATAGTGGGCTGCCTCCCTACTATTCATGGTATCCGTATTTTCACTTAAGGAAATCTGGTCGCGTGGGGGCCATCTTGCTTGCGGAACCATACACTAAGGTCCTGGAAACTTCTTCATCGAACGATACGGTAATGCTTATAATGAAAGGGTATTTTAGACCTTGCATGATCTCAGTTAATCAAGTGATTCCATCCGTAAGCTTTCACTGACAAGAATAGTGTGTCATTAGTCGAGCTGTCTTGCTGGTCGAAACTGAAATCCGAAAACTTGAAGTTACTGATAATTCCTACGAACGTACCTTTACCATATACTTACCTACTGTGACCATGCGTTTTAGTTTTTAATTAGCATAAATGAGAGGCTGTCGAAAATGCTCAATTTCGTTAACCTGGCACCATTTTTATCACTGAAATACTAATGGAAAAAGAAACTTGAAGCAAACTAGGAATACTATTCTGTGGGGCAAGGAGCTCTCTGCCAAGTGGTATAAAACCCAGTGGAGAAACTCTTCTCTGAGTCCGCATAGTAGTGAGAAAACGCCATATTATTAAGGGCGACCCGTATTATTCATAACACCTTAAAACACTATGAAATGATTGTAAAACTAACATTTTATTTATCACCTAGAATCTTACTACCATTCATATGCGGAAGCAATCGAAATCAGCTGCAATTAGTTAATTTATTTGTAATGTTGAATGAATACCCAACTGAGCAGCTATTTTCACGCCATCAATAACTAAGAATGAGTAAATCGTTAACATAATCTCGTGAGATGTTCAATTCGCTACTATTATCACCGAAAACCGTACAACAAAACGTAATGTGGGCAATACCACAAACGCCGTGAAACGTGGAGAATGCGCGGTATTGATATCAATCATCGCGGCGGTCAAACGTGTTTAAACATTAGGCCTTATTCAATAAATATTCCCCCTGACAGCCTCGTGAGGCACAGAAGTGAAACGACGGTCAGAAAGTCAGAAAGTTTTGCGTCACGTCGGATTGTAATGAATACGTCTTTATAACGGACAAAACAAAAGAAAAACAGCGATAAGGCTGGTTTCATACTTTGCGTCAGTGTTCTGTGCTTTCCTAGTCCGGCACACGCTTGAAAAGCTGCTTTACGCTGACGCAAAGTGTGAACGCAGCCTATCAGACAGTTGTTGAAAAAAGTAAACGTTTAAGCAGAACGAACCTCCGAACCGTGTCGATAACCTCTTGTTTGTACAATTTCAGCATCATTTCTTCATAGTGCTCTAACTGCATCGTGTTGAATAATTCCCACTAAATATAAAACATATGGAGACATTTTCAAGCATTACGGAAAAAATGATATTCTCAATATACAGTACACACCCCGTTCATGAAAAACTTGTTCGCTTCAAAGGGAGTGGGCGTGATTACTGGTGGTGGGCAGCTGTTGCCGTCGTCAACGGTGGAAGGGCTGCGAAGGTGTTTGGCCTTCCACCAATAACGTTGGCGACAACCGCCCGCCCCTATCTATCGTGCTCACTGTCTTTAGATATTGAAAGCAATGCCCAACCTCAAGTAAATGATCAAGGGATGTATCAGCCTGTGAGTACATCAAGAGCCATTCAGGTACCTCTGCAATTAGAAATTTTGTTGCTTTTTTCATTATGCTTACTAGTTATTCCAGTGACGTCATAAACCGAATCTAGCAAAAATAACGCGTAAAAAATGATCAGAAAAATAACATAAAAACAGAACCTTCGTGATGGATGATATTAAGATGCTCCACAGCGCTTTCTGCACGTCTACTCGCAACCATCATCGATTCCGTTCGATTAATAGGTACAATTGGCTGACTTATCGGTTGATTCAGTGGTTGGGCGAGGCCAGGATGCTCTACTTGAGACCTTCCATCCATCTCACTGCAATGAACAGATCCATGGCGTTTCTAAGGGAAAGCAATTAAAGTAAAACATACTTGTAATAAATAACACCAGTGTTGGGTTGAAATATTTTATTCCATCCAGGTGGTAAATTCTCTCTAGCCAATGGGTGAATCCAGTGGGTTCTGCAGGTATTGTGGTCCACATAATACCTAGAAATAATGGAAAATAAGATATTATACAGGCGCAGTTTTAAAAAGGCGCAGTTTGGCCACGGGGGGGGGGGGCAATTAGGCTGCTTCACCAGTCCGGTCTGAATGTCTCAATCCTCTTGTCTTGCACCAGCTTCACAAGAGAAACCTGTGAAGCCTTCTGAAGCTGGAGCAAGCTCGAGCCACCGTGACTTTACAATGTTTAACAGTTTCCGCCTGATGGCTCGACACATCGACGGAAAGTAGCAAAGTGCAAAATGCCCCCCCCCCCCCCCGTTGCGCCAAACATTGTGGTGAAATGATATTTCGAACCTGTAGCCGTCTGGGGTCACTTCTACTGCCCAGTTTGGCGGCAACGGTAATTCATCCTCCTGAGGTGTGCCTGACACAAGGCAATTATCTCCTAGAAAAAAAAGGAGTAAAACGCATGGGCAACTTCAAATAATAATCAGTGATATTCACCAATAATCGACGATCCAAACTGCCGACCTTGTCCAGGTAAACTCTGTAAGGAAACAAACCGTTGTTGTGCCGAAGTAGACTGCCTGAAAATGTTCTAAATTTTATCGAAAGCAAAAAAAAAGTTGTTGAGCATTCGATCACACTTACTCTGAGCTCGCCGGATCTATGAAAGATTCAACATTCCCAATGCTATGTGATGACGCTAATGGTTTCCTAATCGGCTCCCGTTTACTCTGATCACTGAAAGTAGGTTTATAAGCAATCTTTCTCGGCCTTCACTACCACAAACACGGTAGTGTATTCAACGATCTGCGATGACTGCTCCATGAAACCTTCCAATCACAGAGAAGATACAACTCAACAGACGTGTTCGTTGTCAACGTGTTCTAAGGCATCTATTTCTCATTCACAAGCAAAAAGTACCATTTGTTTTACTATGATAAACAGCTGTTCATAGCTGTTCTCCCCTGGAAGTTCTCCATTATATCAGCTGAGTTATCAGTTATTTATTTATTTATCTATTTATTTATTTACTAGCATTTACGTGCACCATCGACAGCAAAAAAGAACATGAATATTAAGAGCATACCAACTCAAAGGCAAATCAGACCGCTGGAAGGAAAATCAAACCGCTGGCAAATCAAACGAAACAAAGGAAAACACATAAACGTTTAGGTATACTAACAAAAATGGGTATGGGAAGTTAATTAATGACGTAAGGGCGTACAAAGCACAGTATAAGGGCACAAACGGTTCATATTGAGCATTAAAAACCGCTCTTTCCCCATAACACGTTCAGCACTACGATTATGTGCTGGAGAATTGATGAGGCCATGTGGACCTTTTCGTCAGAGAGGACTGAGGATAAACATTAGATTGCAGAACACCGAGTTCTGATATTTGATTGAATATTATATTTAATTTTGATGTTAGTATGTAGTGGCTTAGTTCTGGTAATGTTACGTGTGAATCGCAGTAAAGAGTTGTAACTGTTAATTCCCTTAAAATTCTTGGGTCTATTTTATACAACTTGTGGCTAGTGCTATGATTGAATCGCCCTGCTTTTCTAGCATTTCGTCGTATTATATCGAGCGTCGAAGCGCTGTTTCAGCTTTCGCCCGCTATTTCTATGTTCTTATCTATATCTCTTATATTTGTGCGCTTAATTGGCAGTGCTAACAGGAATCGATGGTCGCTCAGGCCGTTTTTGTTATTATAGTTTATTTTTATTCATTTCAGGAGCGATGATGATATACGCTGCTAGAGAGTCTGGTACTTCTCTCTATTCTGCATGCCTCTTCCAAATAGCCGCTATGCGCCACATTTGGATACGACCTGCTGTAAGGCATGGCGCCTGGCGCCTCTCTGTCGACGTCTTATACTCTCTGCAAAACTATCCCGCGTACGCGCCAGTCGATCCTGTCTGCGCTGCGTCGCGTTCTGTTATTTATTTGTGAGCCTGTTACATATATGTATTTGGTGTTTTGGGCGCGTTGACGCGTTGCTTCATCGTAAGTGCCTGACCTGTTACGGTTGCTAATTCCTACTGCGCCAACTATTTTTAGAACTTAGCCTCATTTGGCCGGTGAGCTGGCATAGAGTCGAGTGATTGGCGCTAAGGTCAGATTTTCTTCTTATAGGCTTAGTCATTCTCGCGATATGTGTTTTAGGGACCCTTTCGGAATAAGTTAGGATAACTTATAGGACTACCCGTTCCTTACGTTGCGTTTCGGCATCTATTTGCGCTATTTGTTCAGTTATATTATTCTTCATTTATTGTATATCTATTTCGATGTTTCTATTTTTCATGCTGCTTTTCAGTCCGTTATCTTGAATTTTTTCTTCTGTTTCTGCTTTTCGTTTAATGAAATTCGATGCGAGTGAGTAATTATTCTTCTTTCTCCAGTGGTTTCCAAGACTTTCAGTGGCCGCAAAGGATAATGCGCACTAGTTGTGTAGTAATAATACGTCAAAACCCACGCAATCCAGTCGAAACCAAATACAGTCCTGCGATGAAATAAAACTAGTCATCCGTTCGCATAACTGTGAACGCGAAAGCGCCACTCGCACATATATATTTGCCACAGTGGCCCCATTACATTCCCCCCCCCCGATGAACTTCGCCTCCTTGCCGCGACACCAGTTTACACTCACGATCAGAGACATTTTTAACTATTACTGATCTAGTATAATAATGTTTCGATATTTTTCAACCTCTATTACAGACCATGGACGCCTAAAGACAATTACCCGCGATAAATGTTCGGGTAATTTGGTGGCCGCCAGTAAGAAGCCCAGTGGCCCATTGTGTAACCTCCATGGAAAAAAAAACGCTCGGCGAACCCCACCGGATAACGTAGCACGGACCTCCCTTTAGCAGTGGGGGCGGGGCCTGGACGAGTGCGCCGGCTGTGGCTGCCGGGATCGGTGCGGCGGCCGCAATTGCGTCCCGACTTTCGAAATAGGATAATTTTCGAATTCGAATAGGAAATAGGAAACTGCGGAAACAGCTACGCCCCTGAATCGACGGTTGTCGGAGAGGAGAGCTCCCGTTTGAATCCATCACTTGCGTGTGTCGAGAAATTCCGGGCAATCCGCATTGTTTTTTTTCCCCCGCCCCCCCCTGCGATAAAACGTCGTTCACTCATAATTACTTAACAGGTTGTTTTCTGTCAGAGGAGCTGGGGAGAACAGGGAGCTCTTCAATATATGCTGCGTTACTGACCTTTAGTATTCCCATCTGTACGCGCGAGCGGATGCTCTAACCAAGCGGCAGCAAACGAACTTCTCCGTGATATCTCATGCTCCCACTCGTGCTTTTTCTTCAATCCTCCCTCACTGCCTTCTTTAGTTTCTTGCCTCTCTCTTATCCTATGTATGCTTTTCTAAGAATTTGCGCTTCCAGCCAGCTATAAACAGCTATAAACCAACTTTGGCTAAGTGCCAGAAGGGCCGCGCACGAGACGCGCCGCGCGGGCTTTAAAGGGACGGATGCAGTTCGGGACCAGACGCCTCGTCCACCTACCGTCTCCGTGAGCCTAGCGAGCCTTGTCGAAATTGCGATAACTTCCTCATCGCGCGCTTTCATTGGAGTTGGATTAAAAGGCAGGGTCATCTTCATCAGGTGCAGGAGGTTCCATGAAGCGCGAAGTCAGTTTTGAAGGGCCATCTTAGACGCGGAATACTGCTTTAAATACAGCTTTACGTAATAGCACACTTGACTCGCCCCCGACGAGTCCGCCCACTTAGTTAATGGATTTGTATCGAAATAAATAAAGGGGTACAATGAAGCCTTAACCGTGAAAGATCTGAAGAAGATAAATGAACACTCGGAACTTTCGGCCATCTCCAGGACTCATATGATTAAGCCATCAAATATTTGTGTGGGTGGTAAAGCATATGGTTGAAGTTAAACACTTATCTGCTGAAATCAGAGTGAGGCCATCGCCGAAGAGTTCTCTTGATACATCCCCCAGCTGTCTCTGAAGTGAAGAATCTGGTGAACACAGAGCTAGTAGCGAGATACTGAGCCGTCTTAGATTAGAATAATTAGATCCAATAATTACTGGAAAAGTTTCAGAAAAAAAGAACCGCGTGACCTTGCTGCTAGGACGTTGTTCTAGAATTGGGATAGGCTGATGAAGTAGTCGATGTTTTGGAGGCATGTCCCCTTATTGTTCGACAATGACGCATCAACAGGCAATAGTCGTGTTTTTAGCAGCAGTAGTCGTCTTTTTAGCAAGTGTGTGAGCGTGAGCTGCAACAGCATAAAGTTCCGTACATGCCTAGCTTGCAAAAATACAGGCAGTAAGCGTTCCATGAAACATTACTCATTTACCGCTAAAACAAGAATAATACAGAACAGAACTTAGGCCTTTCGAGTGAGCAGATAGCTTAGTCCGCCAAAGACATGTCGCAGCAATCAAACAGTAGTTAAGGGGCTCAAATATTAATGCAAGTTTTTAACTTAATAGCGAAGAGAAAAGGTGAAAAACATTTGTTGACTTCATACCGAATCAAGTTTGCACGAGCTCAAGACGAAGGGAGGGCGTACTCGGACGAACTCTCACTTGTCGATATCAAAATGTTATCAGTTCTCTTTCATTATTTCCGTTCACCATTCGGAATTTAAAGAGTCAGTAGTAAAACGCCCATCCCTAGAGACCTTGGACTGCGTTCATACTTCGCGATTCGGTCGACTCGAGCATTGTACTCGCGCGACCTACGACGCGGGGACGCTTGCCATCGAGCCGCAGTACGGCAGAATTTCAAAACTGAACTTGTGAAAGCGACTCAATTTGAGGTTCTACGTTGCGTCAGTGCAGCCGCGCCGGGCGGTGCAGCGTCTCCTGGTCCGTACACATCCATTACATATCGCCGGCGATTCCAATGCGCACACCCAGAGGCTGAACGGTTGCTAGAAAACGAACGTTTCGATGTTGTAATGAAGCAGGTGGGGCTTGCCGTTTGCCGGCGATCAGGTAGCGGGACGGTGCTTTCGAAGATCATCATCTTCGGTACGTTCAATTAGAGGTGAGGGTGTGAAGGAGGACTTAGCAAAGAGGGGTTTAATCCGGCATGCTCAAGGAGGTATGGCGGTGTTGATGAAGAGACATGTTTGGCGAAAGAAGTCAAATCTCCAAATTTTTATCGTTACCGGCTATAGAGACTCACACTCCGCAGTCCTCTTTTTTTACTGGGGGATTGCAGGCAGGAGGAATTTTGTGGAGAAGATCACTGGTGCAATATAAAGTGCCCCCTTACCATTAGAGGGTTCATTTACGCTGAACAGCTGTATTATATGTGACTGTACAGAAACCCCTGAAAGAACACGCTACATCATGAGGGATACAGCAGATATCACATCGTGTCACAAAGTTTCTCATTAGTTCAGGGTATGGTCAGGGTGGATTGGCTATTTCAAGACTGCAATGTAAGTGATATTGACTGATGGTGGGGGCGACCCGGGATAATTTAAGAAATTGTTATGTTAGATGATAACTCTATCCAAAAAACAATATGAAATTCAGGCTTGTGACGAGGTGGCTAGCACCTAAATTTTTGGCAATCTAACCGATACCGAAAACTTTTGAGACTTCTGGTAGTCTTTCAGTTTTATTTTTTTTTTTCGTTTTTTTTTGGAAGTGACATTTGGAGTTTTACAGTTTTCATCAACACAATTCAATAAAATGAGACCCTAAGACACTAATACTTTCTATACTTGTGTCTATTGCTTCGCTTTCAAAAACTGGTCAAAAAAAGGGTTCGGTGCCGCGCCCAGTGCGCAACTAATCGCGCTGAACGACCACTTCCAAACCCGAGGCGAACGAGACTGTCTAACCGCGAACAAACTAGAAGCTCACAATGACTGCTTCAAGTGGCTCGCTCCTGGCTTCAAGAAAGGCTTAGTAAAAGTTGCTGGCCATCAACTAACAACGTAACCATCGGAACGTGAGAAATGGCGGTTTCAAGAGATCCCATACCCAAAGTTCTTATTTCGATACACTCCTACCCCTTCCCGGCACCCTAGCTACCGCGTTCCTGAGTTCTCCCAACCTTTTCCAGTTTACCCCGCCAAAATGGCGTGTGCAGCGAAGGGAGAATCACAGGCATGTGACAAGACAATCGTAATATGCCGCGCTAGTAAGCGCGGCGAACGCGCCTAACGGACAATTTGTCCTGCCTGGCCATTTTGATACCATGGAATCTTGTCTGCGCTCAAACTCGTCTCCACTCAGCACATTAAACCACCACGAGGATTTGCCGCGCATCGCCGCACGATACGGCGCGCGCGACAAATGCGACAAATTACGGTTGTCTTGTCCGTCTCCCGAATATCGCAAATGATTCCCAGCTATTAAAAATAGTGGTTGTACGGGTTTTTATAAGACTACATGATCAAAAACGACCTCCTCATTCACTAACAATAGGCACCAAGTATGACCCCCTCCCCCGAATAGGATTCTCTAAACGACTGTACCCCGAATTCAAAGGTTTAGAGGCGTTCACTCCCACGCATTTTCAGTGGGAATGAATTCCTTCAATGCCACATATATGTAAAAAACAGAAGTTCAAAGATGTGAAGGCAAAAACTAAAAAAAAGACGAATGGAAAGAAATTTCAATGAACATAAAATTGACATACACGAGAGTGAGGGCACCGGAGGAGGACTCGCTCGCTTCAGATATAACCCTTGCGTTCCCTCAATATACGAGGGAAGCTGCTGCTTCTTGCTTCGTGAGAACATTCTGAAATATTTCCCATTAAAAACAATAATGTCAGATGTCGTTAGAATTTAATAGGAGTCCTAAGCCTGATTCACCTCGATTCGCTAATCAGCGGAAAAGGGAAATGAAAGCAATGTATAATTTTAGCGGTTTCATGAACGTGGGCGTCCACAGACAAAACATGTTGCGTTCGCGAACATTCCCGAAGGTTTCTCGGGAGCACTCGGCTTGGAAATTTCTCATCCCTTGATAATTAGAGATGTGGGGGCGGGGCAGTTCGGCTACGGGGGAAGGGGCAGTTTGCATTTTCGGTGCTTCACTAGTTCCGCTTTTTCTATTTACAAGCCCCACCCTGGTCAAACCTGTAAACTCTTGTGAAGCTGGAGCAAGCCAGTCGAGCCAAAAATTTACAGGTGGTGGTCTCTACAAACTTTGGCTGGTGTCTTTTCGTGGCCTCACAAGTTTTCACAGGTCTCCTTCATGACGCGACACGTCATAGGTAAGTGACGAATGCAATATACACCCCTCCTAGCTGAACTGCACCAAGACAATATGGTAATTTGCTGCACTGTGTGTGGAGGTGCTGTAGTCAGTGCAAGTCTTGCAGTTGATGGGAGTTTTAGCAGCAACAACCTTCTTAAAATCTAACAACTTCCCGCAGCCGAGCGGGGATGGGGTGGTGTAGCGTACTTGAAGCTGGAGAACCAGGAAGAACCAAGAAAAGTCAACAACCGAAAACACGTCCTGGAAAGTGAGTATTCTCTCCAGCGACCAAACGCAGCCCCCCCCCCTCCCCTTGTTGGGGTTTGCCCGCATACGACGTGCTCTGATGTAGTGGCGAAAAAGGGTGGATGGGTGGGAGGGGTTGGACCTCGGAGCAGCTAATATACTCCTATCCTGATTAACCCAGCCCTCCATTCTTGCGAGATCGGTTAGCTAGTACCAGAATTGTCCGTGTGGATAAAAATAGTGACCTGTATGTCGGCTGGCCCTCGCAAGTACAAAATGCGTTTAAAAGCTAGTATGGCTGAGAACAGAGAATACGTAGCACATACCAAAAACAGAATGGTCAGCGTCGTTTATATAATTAGTTCAGGGGCAGCTTCAGGATTGGGGGGGGGGTGGTCGGCATTTCGCACTCTTGCTGCTTTTCATCGGCGTGTCGAGTGGTCAAGTGGGAACTTGGTAAGTCTTGTGCAGCCACGTAATTATACCGGTCAAAGTTTGTACCTGTCAATTCATGTAAAGAGTACCTGAAAACTCTTGTTGACTTATGACGAAATTCATTTCGTGAGCTATTTCGGTTATTTTATTTCATTCATTACTTCATTTATTTTACTTACACGTTACTTTACACGTTTCTTCATTTATTTCATTTTATTTAAGCTGACAAGAGTTGACAGGCTTAACCACTGTGCCTGGGTATGTGACAAGAGAATCGTAATTCGCCGCGCTGATGGGCGTCGCGTGCGACGTCGCGCCCGCAAATGACGATGGTTCCAGGTCGTAGATGGCGACAACAGGCAATTCAGAACCGAAAATAGTCATGAATGTCTCATGAATGTCCACGATGACGGGGTCTAAGTGAGGTCCATGCTTCAGTCCACAGCTTAAAACAAGAGAATGGCGCACGTTTTGCCGCGCGCGGCGGAGCTGCAAATTACGATTCTTTTGCCAGGCTCCCATTGTGGCTCGACGAATTGTTGAGTTCACAAGACTCACGGGTTTTACAGAAAGAGACTTGCGAACCAGAACTAGTAGAGCGAAAATGCAAAATGCGCCTTTTCTCCGAACTACGCCAAAGATGTTATCATAGAAAGGGTGGATGAGCCCACTTTGCCTTTTTCGAACCCCTTTGTTATGACAAACCCTCTCAAACTCCTTAAATTAGTTCCATATTATCCGCGCGTACTTCCATTTACTGCTTCAATTTTTATGTCTTTTCAAAGGGCGCAAATGTTTGAAATCAATGTAATATTGCCAAAACCGAGGTTGTCCGATAAACAAAGCGCGGGCGAAAGTGTAAACACGCAAAATACCATATATTTGCATTTCCTATCCGATTTCCCCTGGAAATCATAACCTTTGAAACTACTCAAGTATTCGTACCTATGAAATTTCTATTCCGATTTCGAGAAAACCTTCCAGTCCGAAAACGGCTTTAACCTAGATCCCAAAAGTATTTCCA